CTAAGAGTTCTGTGATTATTAGCATGGTCAGTTTACCATTAGCTTTCACGATGCACTGTTTGGACCTGATGGAGGGGGTGAACCTAGACACATGTTTATAGTGACCATAAATAGCTAGACAGAGTAAGGTATGATCACAGTAGGGCATCATAAAGCGAACGGGAAAGCTGCTATCAAAAAGTCAGCTCAATGAATTTGATGTTTTACTTGAGGGATTACTGTAACTTCCGCTATGTGTATAGGTAGAGAGTACATTTTTCCACATACTGCAATCCCAGATTCTAAATATGGACGCAGTATGGCTATTCGGACACAGCATTAGAACAAGTTGGCCAATCAACATTGAGTATAGCAGAAACTGTAACTTCATCATTGAAAATAAATCTCCCCACTGCCTCCTGTGTTCTTATCCAGACCAAAACAATTGTGTGATTCTATATAAAGTGAATACAGCATACTGTAGTCTTCCATCTCATCATATAAAATCAAAGTGACGCTTACTGAACAAGAAGTTGTTTAGTGTTTTTGAATTGTTGGCTCCTTTACTGAACAAGAAGTTGTTTAATGTTTTTGAATTGTTGGCTCCTTGTTCAGTAAGCGTCACTTTGATTTAGAACTTTTATTTTGGGCTACCTGGTTGGCTGAACGCTGTGCACCACTTCTGGAAGTAGCATGACCCACTTAGAAAGTTGTGTTTTATTAAGACAGTAGGCATTTTTTCTCATTTATTTTTCAACTGCACACTTTTATAGTTAGTGATGATTACATTGCATCAGTCTTGGGATGAACACGATTCATCAGACATGTATCAACCACTCCAGGAATATTTTTTCATTTGTTCAACATCGACGTCCCACGAGACACCAGATATTACCCCCTTTACAGGTGCACTGCTTCGAAGAGCAACGCACAACACAGCATATTTCTCTAAAATCATGAGACTCACCATGCGCTCCTTCTGTTCCTGGGATTTATAAAAAATCAATACAAGCCCACTTCTCGTGATCCTCACAGCCTTTACTTTACCCACTACTTCTTCCACCAGTTTGGATATCTGAAACAGGTTTCTCAAGTTTGGTATTTCATCCAGGTGCTCATCTTCAAAAAAAACGTGCTCCTACAAGATAAGTGTGGACTCCATCAGAGCTCAACGTTTTGTTCACCAACACAACTTTGCTCCATTTCCCATTCTTTTGGACGACAGTCCAGCCTTCCTCGATTCGGCTTCCACCGCCATTAGACTCAAGAGTTTTAAGTTCCTCGGCGTACATATCACTGACAAACTGAAATGGTCCACCCACACAGACAGTGTGGTGAAGAAGGCGCAACAACCTCAGGAGGATGAAGAAATTTGGCCTGTCACCTAAAACCCTCACAAACTTTTACAGATGCACAATTGAGAGCATCCTGTCGGGCTGTATCACCGCCTGATATGGCAACTGCACCGCCCACAACCGCAGGGCTCTCCAGAGGGTGGTGCGGTCTGCACAACGCATCACCGGGGGCAAACTACCTGCCCTCCAGGACACCTACAGCACCCGATGTCACAGGAAGGCCAAAAAGATAATCAAGGACAACTACCACCCGAGCCACTGCCTGTTCACCCCGCTATCATCCAGAAGGCGAGGTCAGTACAGGTGCATCAAAGCTGGGACCGAGAGACTGAAAAACAGCTTCTATTTCAAGGCCATCAGACTGTTAAACAGCCATCACTAGCACAGAGAGGCTGCTACCTACATACAGACTTGAAAATCACTGGCCACTTTAATAAATGGAAAACTAGTTACTTTAATAATGCCACTTTTTAATAATGTTTACATATCTTGCATTACCCATCTCATATGTACAGTGCTATGAAAAAGTATTTGCCCCCGTCACGCCCTGACTCAGGGGACTCTTATATGTTGAGTCAGGGTGTGAATATGCTATGTTGTGTATATCTATGTGAATGATCTAGTATGTGTAGATCTATGTTGGCCGGTGTGGTTCCCAATCAGAGGCAGCTGTCGCTCGTTGTCTCTGATTGGGGATCATACTTAGGTGTATAGGTTTGTTGTGTGTTCAACCTTAGGACTTCACGGTTCGTTTGTTTATTGTTTTGTCGTGTGTTTATCAGTTTAATAAACATGTACGCATTTCAGGCTGCGCCTTGGTCTGACCCGTCCTTAAACGAACATGACAGAAGATCCCACCAAACACGGACCAAGCAGCGTACCCAGGAGCAGACAGCCTGGACATGGGAGGAGATCCTGGACGGAAAGGGATCCTGGACATGGGAGGAGATTCAGGCTGGGATGGATCGCCGTCCTTTGGAGGAGACAGTGGAGGCCCGGTTTAGAGAGGAGCAACGGCAACGCAGAAGGCGCCGGCCGAGGAAGAAGCCCGAGAGACAGCCTCAATAAAACATTTTGGGGGGGCTAAAAGGTTGGTCGGGGATCGATGGAGAAGAGCCCCGACCACTGCACTCGTGGGGGCTCAGGGAGGAGTCCTCACGGGAGGAGGAGGACTGGGCACTCCGGAGCCAGAGCAGTACGCTCCACCGGTGCCTGATCCAGCTCCGGTCAGTGGCTCCACTCCGGAGCCAGAGCAGTCCGCTCCACCGGTGCCCAGTACAGCTCCGGTCAGCGGCTCCACTCCGGAGCCAGAGCAGTCCGCTCCACCGGTGCCCGGTCCAGCTCCGGTCAGCGGCTCCAGTCCGGAGCCTGAGTGGTCCACTCCACCGGCGCCCGGTCCAGCTCCGGTCAGCGGTTCCAGTCCCCCAGGCATCCTCTACTGACGGAATGAGGTCAATATCCATCCAGGATACCCGGGCCAGGTCAATTAGAAAGGCCTGCTCGCCTTTCTAGTTTTTTAGGCCGCGGACGCAGGCAATTACAGACGCAGGCAATAAGGCAGTGATCGCTGAGATCCTGGTTGAAGACAGCGGAGGTGTATTTAGAGGGTCAATTTGTCAGGATGATATCTATGAGGGTGCCCATGTTTACAGATTTTGGGTTGTACCTGGTAGGTTCGTTGATAATTTGTGTGAGATTGAAGGCATCTAGTTTAGATTGTAGGTTGGCCGGGGTGTTAAGCATATCCCAGTTTAGGTCACCAAGCAGTACGAACTCTGAGGATAGATGGGGGGCAATCAGTTCACATATGGTGTCCATGGCACAGCTCGGGGCTGAGGGGGGTCTGTAGCAAGCGGCAACAGTGAGAGACTTATTTCTGGAAAGGTGGATTTTTAGAAGTAGAAGCTCAAACTGTTTGGGCACAGACCTGTATAGTATGATAGAGCTCTGCAGGCTATCTCTACAGTAGATTGCAACCCCACCACCTTGGGCAGTTCTATTGAGACGGAAAATGTTGTAGTTGGGGATGGACATTTCTGAATTTTTGGTGGCCTTCCTAAGCCAGGATTCAGACACTGCTAGAACATCAGGGTTGGCGGAGTGTGCTAACGCAGTGAATAACTCAAACTTAGGGAGGAGGCTTCTGATGTTAACGTGCAAGAAACCAAGGCATTTACGGTTACAGAAGTCAACAAATGATAACGCCTGGGGAGTAGGAGTGATACTGGGGGCTACAGGGCCTGGGTTAACCTCTACATCACCAGAGGAACAGAGGAGGAGTAGAATAAGGATACGGCTAAAGGCTTTAAGAACTGGTCTTCAAGTGCGTTGGGTACAGAGAAAAAAAGGGGCAGATTTCCAGGCATTGTAGAATCGATTCAGGGCATCATGTACAGACAAGGATATGGAAGGATATGAGTACAGTGGAGGTAAACCTAAGCGTTGGGTAACGATGAAAGAGATAGCATCACTGGAGGCACCGATTGAGTCGGTCTCCCCGTGTATGGCGGGTGGGACAAAGGATAACATCTGCTAACCATGTGTATGTGACCAATACATTTTATTTTATTTGATCCACATCTGCTTCTGCTTCCGCCATAACTCAGCCTGTCCACTGACTGTCTGTAATTAGCCTCCTCATTTGTCTTTTAAGCCACCCCATGGGGGTTTGTATCTTTGTGAAAACCAATAAGGAAATGGGAGAGGTGGGACTTGCAGCCTGTCGTGCATCTCAAATAGAACCAAGTTCTGTTTTAGCATTCGGCAAAGCAGACGCTCTTTGACACATGCAACGTGGCCGGTATAGCCAGGGTGTTATTCTATTACTGTCAATGATTGCAACACCACTTTGTAGCTATAACTAAGCAGGCTACAAATGTACACTTTTCTTCCAGCGTGCTACAGTTGCTACAGCGTAACTAAGTAAAGTTTATTTGGGAGTTAATCTAATCTACTCACCGGTTTCACTGAGAAATCACAGGCGTTTTCAAGCGTCGCCAACCTTTTTTTCCTACTAATAAATACTACAATATTCTCTACTTTAAAGAGAGTTAGCAAAATAGTCGTACAATGCAATTAAATCGCTGACAAATCTCTAATTTGTGTGGCAGTAGTGAGGCTGCAGTGGTTACAAAGAAAATCCACGTCATTGATTGAACTCGAGCTGTCCTGTTGGCGGTGTGACAATGATGCGACATTTCAGAGCATATCGCCACCTACAGCTTGGAGAAGCAACTGGCAAGTCTATCTCTCTCTCCCCCTCCCTCCATCTATCTCACTTCAAGCATGCACACACACACACTGGAAGGTCTTTCAGTTATTTCTTTATTTGGTGTTAAACGTAGTCTACAATTAAATTGTTTAGTTTCATTAACATGATATATGAAATGAAAAGCACACACAGTTTATCATAACCAGTTAAGAAGGAACAAAGTAACATAAGTACTCTTTCCATAGAGTTTGAATATGGTAAATATATATAAATATATATAAATGTTTATATTTTATGCACATGAGCAAAAGGAAGTGCCTTTCAAAAAACCCATCGACACTGGCACTGCACATAATGGAATAGAACGGAGAAAATGGGACGTTAACATAAAGTTCACAAACATGCTCCGACGTCTAAATTACCCAATTGCATTTCCAATTCGTATTCTAGGTCTAATTTAGCCACTCCTTACACATGAGGCTTATGAAGAGCATGACAGAGATGAGGTAGAAAGTGAAGAAGGCAGCGTTGAGGCGCCGTGCCACTCTGGTCCAATAGCCGGGTTTCCCCTCCCTCCTGCCGCTGGCGAACAGAGCTAATGTCCGCTCCACCACCCGTAGGTCCTCCAGAATCAACAGCAGCAGGCAAGACTCTCCTGGTGTTCGCACAACATTGATGACCTGGAGATTATCAACGTGAGATTATTATTAGTATTAGTACTATTTACAGTGCTTTCGGAAAGTATTCAGACCCCTTCACTTTTTCCACATTTTGTTACGTTACAGCCTTATTCTAAAATGGATTAAATAAATAAAAATCCTCAGCAATCTATACACAATACCCCATAATGACAAAGTGAAAACAGGTTTTTAGAAATGTTTGCATATGTATTCAAAATAAAAAACAAAGTATTCAGACCCTTTGGTATGAGACTCGAAATTGAGCTCAGGTGCATCCTGTTTCCATTGATCATCCTTGAGATGTTTCTACAACTTGATTGGAGTCCTCCTGTGGTAAATTCAATTGACTGGACATGATTTGGAAAGAAACACACCTGTCTATATAAGGTCCCACAGTTGACAGTGCATGTCAGAGCAAAAACCAAGCCATGAGGTGGAAGGAATTGGCCGCCCTGCCAAACTGAGCGATTGGGGGAGAAAGGCCTTGGTCAGGGAGGTGACCAAGAACTCGATGGTCACTCTAACAGAGCTCTATAGTTCCTCTGTGGAGATGGGAGAAACTTCCAGAAGGACAACCATCTCTGCAGCACTCCACCAATCAGGCCTTTATGGTAGAGTGGCCAGACGGAAACCAGACGGAAACCACGCAAACCCTCAGTAAAAGGCACATGACAGCCCTGTTGGAGTTTGCCAAAAGGCACCTAAAGACTCTCAGACCATGAGAAACAAGATTATCTGGTCTGATGAAACCAAGATTGAACTCTTTGGCCTGAATGCCAAGCGACACATCTTGGGGAAACCTTGCACCATCCTTCGGTGAAGCATGGTGGTGGCAGCATCATGCTGTGGGGATGTATTTCAGCGGCAGGGACTGGGAGACTAGTCAGGATCGAGGCAAAGATGAACGGATCAAAGTACAGAGAGATCCTTGATGAAAACCTGTTCCAGAGCGCTCAGGACCTCAGACTGGGGCGAAGGTTCACCTTCCAACAGGACAACGACCCTAAGCACACAGCCAAGACAACTCAGAAGTGGCTTCGGGACAAGTCTCTGAATGTCCTTGAGTGGCTCAGCCAGAGCCCGGACATGAACCCGATCAAACATCTCTGAGAGACATAGCTGTGCAGCAACGCTCCCCATCCAACCTGACAGAGCTTGAGAGGATCTGAAGAATAATGGGAGAAACTCTCCAAATACAGGTGTGCCAAGCTTGTAGCGTCATACCCAAGAAGACGCGAGGCTGTAATTGCTGCCAAAGGTGCTTCAACAAAGTACTGAGTAAAGGGTCTGAATACTTATGTAAAAAAAAAAAGTTTGAAACTTTTGATAATTTATATAAAAAACTAACAACCTGTTTTTGCGTTGTCATTATGGAGTATTGTGTGTAGATTGATGAGGGGGGAAAAAACAATTTAATCCATTTTAGAATAAGGCTGTAACCTAACAAAATGTGGAAAAAGTCAAGGGGTCTGAATACTTTCCGAAGACACTGTATACTAGTAGTGCTAGGCTGGAGCAAAAGCCTGTGAGATCATTAACATGAGAGAAAAAGGAACTCTACACGTGTAAAACACTTTTTTTTGCCAAAGAATACTGAACAAAAATATAAATGCAACATGTAAAGTGTTGGTCTAACGTTTCATGAGTTGAAATAAAAGATCCCAGAAATGTTCCATACGCACAAAAATCTTATTTTTCTAACATGTTGTGCACAAATTTGTTTACATCCCTGTTAGTGAGCATTTCTCCTTTGCCAATATAATCCATCCACCTGACAGGTGTGGCATATCAAGAAGCTGATTAAACAGCATGATCATTACACAGGTGCACCTTGTGCTGCGGACAATAAAAGGCCACTCTAAAATGTGCAGTTTTGTCACACAACACAATGCAACAGATGGCTTACGTTTTTAGGGAGCGTGCAATTGACATGCTGACTGCAGGAATGTCCACCAGACCTGTTGCAAGATAATTTAATGTTCATTTCTCTACCATAAGCCACCTCCAATGTTGTTTTAGAGAATTTGGCAGTATGTCCAACCAGCCTCACAACCGCAGACCACGTGTAACCACGCCAGCCCAGGACCTCCACATCTGGCTTCTTCACCTGCGGGATTGTCTAAGACCATCCACCCGGACAGCTGATGAAACTCTGGGTTTGCACAACCGAAGGATTTCTGCACGAACTGTCAGAAACCTGCATGCTCGTCGTCCTCAACAGGGTCTTGACCTGACTGCAGTTCGGCGTCGTAACCGACTTCAGTGGGCAAATGCACAGCTTAGATGGCCACTGGCACGCTGGAGAAGTGTGCTCTTCACGGATGAATCCCGGTTTCAACTGTACCGGGCAGATAGCATGTGTATGTCGTGTGGGTGAGCGGTTTGCTGATGTCAACATTGTGAACAGACTGGCCCATGGTGGCGGTGGGGTTATGGTTTGTGCAGGCATAAGCTACGGACAACGAACACATTGCATTGTATCGATGGCAATTTTAATGCACAGAGATACCGTGACGAGATCCTGAGGCCCATTGTCATGCCATTCATCCGCCACCATCACCTCATGTTTCAGCATGATAATGCACGGCCCCATGTCACAAGGATCTGTACACAATTCCTGGAAGCTGAAAATGTCCCAGTTCCATGGCATGCATACTCACCAGATGTCACCCATTGAGCATGTTTGGGATGCTCTGGATCAACGTGTTCCAGTTCCTGCCAATATCCAGCAACTTTGCACAGCCATTGAAGAGGAGTGAGACAACATTCCACAGGCCACAACAGCCTGATCAACTCTATGCGAATGAGATGTGTCGCGCTGCATGAGGCAAATGGTGGTCACAACAGATACTGACTGATTTTCTGATTCACGCCCCTACCTTTTATTTTAAGGTATCTTGGACCAACAGATGCAGATCTGTATTCTCAGTCATGTGAAATCCATAGATTAGGGCCTAATTTATTTATTTCAATTGACTGATTTCTTTATATGAACTGTAACTCAGTAAAATCTTTGAAATTGTTGCATATTGTGTTCATATTTTTGTTCAGTGTAGTTAGGAATCTCTTAGTGCATGGCTAGAGCAAACTATTTTGCACCCTTTTGATACCTAGGACCAATATTGAAGAACGTTGCTATAGATGTGTGCGTCCCAAATGGCACCCTTTTCCCTTTAGACCCTGGTCAAAAGCAGTGCACCATATAGGGAATAGGGTGCCATTTGAGACGCAACCAAAATAAAGTAGGTAATCTAACCTCTTCTGCAACAGGCAATGGTTCACATGGAGCTTTTCTTCCAGCCACAGCACAGATACAGGCACAGCAACCACGCCTCCTCTCCTCCTCTGAAACCAATCGACAGCTCTGTCACTGACATTATCAGTTGTATCATGTCATGGGTTGCATCCCAAATGGCACCCTATACCCTACATGGTGCACTACTAGGCTCTGGTCAAAAGTAGTGCAGTCATGATGATTTTACTCATCACCTGTTATATTTCCCCCTCTGTAGGAAACTGCCCTGCCTACAAACGACAGCACAAAGAGAGGCACTTGTGTCAGTGGCGTACCTGGGTCACAGGTGTGACAAGGGGTGTGGTCTGGTTTGTTGTCAGTCGTATGCGGGGGCATGGTCTATACCTGTCTCTTGGTGGACGGAGTCTCTCTCCATCAGGTGAGTCACTAAGATGGTCTCCAACAGGCTTAGCAACATGAAGGCAAAGATCACTATACAGTAGGTCGCTGTGAGGGAGAACACACACACAGACAATAGAAGATCACTACACAGGCCACATTGTGGGAGATAACACATCCGTTGGACACAGATACTCTGTGTGTGACTATGCATATATACTAGATGTTTGTGGTTTTGTGTGTAACCTATGAGAGGGGTCCTGTTTGACATGGAGGGCAGTATGTCATTGAGGATGAGCAGCAGAACAGAGATGGCAAGCAGCACGGTGACCTTAAAGCCCAGTTTCTCCCCCCGCTGGTCTGAGATCAGGAAGGAGGCCAGATCCAGACACAGGAAGAACAGGATGGGAAGCATAAAGTTGATGACGTGGAGGAGGGGCCTCCTCCTCATGGTTATCTAAGGAAAAGAGATGAGCCAGGAAGAAGGATATGACAGTGATGTCATATGTGGCATAGTAATGTCTGGCCTGGTCATAGATCCAGCTATATGGAGTGTGTGTGTGTGTGCGTGCGTGCTTGAGACGTACAGTGTATGAGATTTGGTCCCACTCGCGATTGAAAATTAGTTTGCCCCTGGAGACGGTCATGTCCAGGAACTCCCACTCTCCCTGCGTCTGCATGACCTCACGAGAAGCCTGGGTGGCCCGGGACGAGTTAGAGAAAGGGATGAGCTGTATATCTGTCACTGAGGGAAGGAAAGGAGGGAGAGGAAGATAGGAATAGACGGAGAAGGAGAGGTGAAGAGAAGTCACTCATCCATATTTGTGTTGTTGTGCGTGTGTGTGCATACATAGTATGATGATTTGATAAAGACAGCAGATGCAGCACGCCAATTGCACTAAACCTCTGTTTGTTTAGGATATACACAACCCCCCTTCTCCCTTCTCCCTTCACCACTAAACCCACCCCTTACACACACTCACACACACACATGCCCCTCTCCCTTTCCCCTAAAGCCCCCTATACCTTACACACACACTCACATGAACACACACTCACATGAACACACACAATTGCGGGAACCCGGTTACCGGGATTTACCGCCCAAAACCACTCCCTTTTCCCGGGATAAATAACTGCGGAAAACAAAATAAAACAAATTATTTATATGAACAGCATGGCGCGAAATGATCCTGTTAAATTATATGCATGTCAAAATCTGGCTTCTCTACGGCTTCTGCATGATGAATCATCAACGCTCAGGGTGGGGACAGGCAGCCCATCTCACTATGGAGTGCAGTTCACAATGCATGTAGACCTAGCATTTCATGGTAACTTTTTTTCTTGTGACAGGTAGGCCTGCATTTGCTGCAGCATAGCCTATGCTACAGTAATATAAATACTGAATGTGCGTCCAATTTACCCATCTCCATCTGGCTTTCGGGGGTCACCTTATTTTCATTGTAAAGATGTTTTATTTATTTATTGCAGCTGCAGTTTTAAAAACAGCCCATCACTGGAATATCTTTGCTTTAAATTAGTGCATGCATGAGCACTCTCTCACAGTCTTTCTCTCTCCATCAACTCCATTCAAATTGCTTTTAAAATAGATCATCCTGTTCTAGATTGATATATAGCCCAATATATAGATGTCCTAGTCTACCTCTTTCAGGTAATAAATGAATGTAGTATTAGCCTTATATTTAGCTAATGAATGATGTGTTATGCATAATAACCTTCTAACTAATAGCCTCTGTCTCTTGCGGAATGCGCACACACCTGTGCTCCGCTGGCCTCTCTCCTTAAAAAACGCTCCTTAGATATTGGAGTCCCATGCAGGAAAAGCTAGACTAGAATAGCTAGCTGGACATTATTATTTTAGTATTTCTTATACCAATAGACTATTCGAAGAGGGACACAAGCTCTTGTTTGCTGAATGTTAAATACAGCAGCCAATAGAACTCACGGGTAGTTTGAAAGAAGAGCAAACGCGCGATGGCGGTAGGCTATAGCAGTTATTTATTCAGACCCATTACCATTAAATCTTCGTGAAGAGAAGTGAAAGCCTTCTGCATCTAATTCTAGTCCTATATTATTTATGGATGTCATTAGAATGATGAAGATAAGGACAACGAAATGTATTTCATTTCTGTTGAAAGCGAGGAAGGAATGAAGCAACAATAGAGAGAGAAAGAGGTGGTAGGCTAATAACATTAGGGGAAATATGATGCAAGGTATATATGTGTCAGTCTACTAATTATACAAATAGGCCCTATTATATTTATAAATTAAATCAAATTCCCTAGCCTATACTTGTAACTTTGTAGGCCGAATATGCTGCACCAGAATCGCATGTTCTCTCCCTGCTTTATCATGGTTTGAACGATGTGCGTAATTCCAGTCCATATAATACAGTATAATACAATACAGTAAAGTAATACAGTTCACGCGCAAAAAGATTAGCCTACTGTAGCTAGTTTAATGTATTTACCCAAGAGAGCATATATCTAGCTACATCTATTGGCTTTTATGTTTTTCTGTTGTGCGTAATGTGCAGTAGCCTATATCATATATTTATGTATTGGATAACGTCACAATCATTTGGGCTTTTTTGGGCTTGGGCTCAATAAATGTCTTTAATGTAGGGCTCATAAAATGTATTTAATGTATGGCTCATCAGGCTCAGGTAGCATCAGAATTGAATTTTCGATCAAAACTCTAATCCAATCCAGACATAGGCCTATTTATATGCTTTATGATGCTTTTGAATGACACTTCCGGTTTTGGCGGGAAATACCGGGTTACCTGGGAGAAAAGTAATTTATTCTCAGGATGGAACATTTGTAAAATACCTGGAAAATATTAAACCCTACCACTCACCAATGTGTATGGCGGAGCTGAATGTGATGTTACATCTCTGTGTGTCGAAGGGGAACTTGTGGACGTCCATCTTACAGGTGCTGACCACCTTAATTTCTTCCTCCAATAAGACGATCCCATCATGGGACACATACAGGTATGGGCTGGGAGGGGCATCATGCTTCTCTGTCCTGAGACAACAAACACTTACACACACGTAGTTGATGTGGACTCACTAGCTAGTTAACAGTGTGTGCGCGCTAGTAGGGGCAGGGAAGGGATCTACTCTGGCTGCGTTTTTCCCAGGCAGCCCAATTCTGATCTTTTTGCCACTAATTGGTCTTTTGACCAATCAGATCAGATCTTTTGCCCATAATTGGGCAAAAGATCTGGGGTGCTTTCAGTTTGCTTTAACGTTTGCTACATTGCATAACGGTTTGTATTGAACGACAGGTTTTCCCAAAACGTTCTCGTACATTCTTGAACAGACTGAGATACGTTTGCTCTGTTCGGTGGGTGTGCCGGGGTATGTCTTGAAGCAATGAGAGACGTACTTAAAGTGCAGCGGTGCATTTTGAACCCACAACCCAAACCCTCCCCGTTTTTCAACTGGTCATTCAGTACAGCACCGTTTCCATTCAATTGAACGTTCTATTACGTATTTATGTACTGAATTGGGATGTACATATTTCCCTTTCAAGACGATTCGATACATACCTACATACTTTAGTCTGAAACGATTGGGTGCGATTCGATTTTATTAGAGGAACGAATCGATGTGATTTGGTTCGATGCGATACGATTCGATGCACTAACATTTGTTGCATAAACACATTCATTTTCCATTTTTAATTCAAATCTGCTGCTGATGGAGCTCATGAGCTGGGCCTCTCTGAGCTGGAGTTATCTGAGCTGACTTCTGTTTGTGTGTAAATGATGTATAAGTCTATGGTGTATGTAGGCACCTGAGCTGAGCCATAAGGGAAACTGGGCATCTACCACCCCACTATCAGTCATCACCACTAATTAATTTGTCATTTTTGCAGATTAAAAGTGTTAGAGCTAGTATTGTATCAATATTTTTCTTTAAAAATTAGCTATGACATAGACAATGGATATATAGCACAACTTTGGATTTCACCCCTGTCTAATAATTTAATGGTTTAGACCAGGGGTATTCAACTCTTACCCTATGAGGTCCGGAGCCTACTGATTTTCTGTTCAACCTGATAATTAATTGCACTCACCTCGTGTCCCAGGTATAAATCAGTCCCTGATTAGAGGGGCACAATGAAAAAACACAGTGGACCTGGCTTCGAGGTCCAGAGTTGAGTTTGAGGGGTATCGACCGTTTGGAATTTTTGACGGACTCAGAGTGAGCTTCTCTTCTTCTCCTGCTTCTACCATGCAGTGCGGGTAGTAAAAGTGATTGCTCCTAGTTATTAACTTTACCATGTATATCTAAAATGACCATAAATACTGATTGTTTCAAGCAAAACTACCAAAACTATTGCTGATGGTAAACCTGAACAATCGAAATAACATCCAATATCAGCTAAGCCCGGATCAGCATATAGCCAGATGAGAGTTGTCTCCAGCGGTAGCTTAGGCTACTCTTATTCCGGTAAAACACCATTTTCAACAGCACATTTGATAAAGATAACCTAGCTAATTACATTGGTTGTCACTCAACTAAGAAAGCCTAATATTGCGCAAGGGGACACTAAAGGGAACACTAAAAGAACACATCCTAGATCTGAATGAATGAAATAATCTTATTAAATACTTTTTTCTTTACATAGTTGAATGTGCTGACAACAAAATCACACAAAAATTATCAATGGAAATCAAATTTATCAACCCATGGAGGTCTGGATTTGGAGTCACCCTCAAAATTAAAGTGGAAAACCACACTACAGGCTGATCCAACTTTGATGTAATGTCCTTAAAACAAGTCAAAATGAGGCTCAGTAGTGTGTGTGGCCTCCACGTGCCTGTATGACCTCCCTACAACGCCTGGGCATGCTCCTGATGAGGTGGCGGATGGTCTCCCGAGGGATCTCCTCCCAGACCTGGACTAAAGCATGATGTCCCAGATGTGCTCAATTGGATTCAGGTCTGGGGAACGGGCGGGCCAGTCCATAGCATCAATGCCTTCCTCTTGCAGGAACTGCTGACATACTCCAGCCACATGAGGTCTAGCATTGTCTTGCATTAGGAGGAACTCAGGGCCAACTGCACCAGCATATGGTCTCACAAGGGGTCTGAGGATCTCATCTCAGTACCTAATGGCTGTCAGGCTACCTCTGGCGAGCACATGGAGGGCTGTGCGGCCCCACAAAGAAATGCCACCCCACACCATGACTGACCCACCGCCAAACCGGTCATGCTGGAGGATGTTGCAGGCAGCAGAACGTTCTCCACGGCGTCTCCAGACTCTGTCACGTCTGTCACGTGCTCAGTGTGAACCTGCTTTCATCTGTGAAGAGCACAGGGCGCCAGTGGCGAATTTGCCAATCTTGGTGTTCTCTGGCAAATGCCAAACGTCCTGCACGGTGTTGGGCTGTAAGCACAACCCCCACCTGTGGACGTCGGGCCCTCATACCACCCTCATGGAGTCTGTTTCTGACCGTTTGAGCAGACACATGCACATTTGTGGCCTGCTGGAGGTCATTTTGCAGGGCTCTGGCAGTGCTCCTCCTGCTCCTCCTTGCACAAAGGCGGAGGTAGCAGTCCTGCTGCTGGGTTGTTGCCCTCCTACGGCCTCCTCCACGTCTCCTGATGTACTGGCCTGTCTCCTGGTAGCGCCTCCATACTCTGGACACTACGCTGACAGACACAGCAAACCTTCTTGCCACAGCTCGCATTGATGTGCCATCCTGGATGAGCTGCACTACCTGAGCCACTTGTGTGGGTTGTAGACTCTGTCTCATGCTACCACCAGAGTGAAAGCACCGCCAGCATTCAAAAGTGAACAAAACATCAGCCAGGAAGCATAGGAACTGAGAAGTGGTCTGTGGTCACCACCTGCAAAACCAGTCCTGTATTGGGGGTGTCTTGCTAATTGCCTATAATTTCCACCTGTTGTCTATTCCATTTGCACAACAGCATGTGAAATGTATTGTCAATCAGTGTTGCTTCCTAAGTGGACAGTTTGATTTCACAGAAGTGTGATTGACTTGGAGTTACATTGTGTTGTTTAAGTGTTCCCTTTATTTTTTTGAGCAGTGTATATACACTACCATTCAAACGTTTGGGGTCACTTAGAAATGTCCTTGTTTTCGAAAGAAAAGCAATTTTTTTGTCCATTAAAATAACATCAAATTGATCAGAAATACAGTGTAGACATTGTTAATGTTGTAAATGGATATTGTAGCTGGAAACGGCTGATTCTTAATGGATTATCTACATAGGCGTACAGAGGCCCATTATCAGCAACCATCAGTCCTGTGTTCCAATGGCACGTTGTGTTTGCTAATCCAAGTTTATCATTTTAAAAGGCTAATTGATCATTAGAAAACCCTTTTGCAAGTATGTTAGCACAGCTGAAAACTGTTGTGCTGATTAAAGAAGCAATAAAACTGGCCTTCTTGAGACTAGTTGAGTATCTGGAGCATCAGCAATTGTGGGTTCGATTACAGGCTCAAAATGGCCAGAAACAAATAACTTTCTTCTGAAACTCGTCAGTCTATTCTTGTTCTGAGAAATGAAGGCTATTCTATGCGAGATATTGCCAACAAACTGAAGATCTCGTACAACGCTGTGTACTACTCCCTTCACAGAACAGCGCAAACTGGCTCTAACCAGAATAGAAAGAGGAGTGGGAGGCCCCGGTGCACAACTGAGCAAGAGGACAAATACATTAGAGTGTCTAGTTTGAGAAACAGACGCCTCACAGGTCCTCAACTGGCAGCTTCATTAAATAGTACCCACAAAACACCAGTCTCAACGTCAACAGTGAAGAGGCGACTCCGGGATGCTGACCTTCTAGGCAGAGTTGCAAAGAAAAAGCCATATCTCAGACAGTTTTTTTCTTTGCAACGCTGCTGCATAGGATAAGTTCATTAGAGTTACCAGCCTCAGAAATTTCAGCCCAAATAAATGCTTCACAGAGTTCAAGTAACAGACACATCTCAACATCAACTGTTCAGAGGTGAATCAGGCCATGGTCGATTTGCTGCAAAGAAACCACTACTAAAGGACACCAATAAGAAGAAGAGACTTGCTTGGGCCAAGAAGCACAAGCAATGGACATTAGACCGGTGGAAATGTGTCCTTTGGTCTGGAGTGCAAATTGGAGATTTTTGGTTCCAACCGCCGTGTCTTTGTGAGATGCAGTGTGGGTGAACGGATGATCTCTGCATGTGCAGCATTCTGCAGTGATATGCCATCCCATCTGGTTTGATCTTAGTGGGATTATCATTTGTTTTTCAACAGGACAATGAGCCATCACACCTCTAGGCTGTGTAAGGGATATTTTACCAAGAAGGAGAGGGATGGAGTGCTGCATCAGATGACCTGGCCTCCACAATCCCCCAACCTCAACCAAATTGAGATGGTTTGGGATGAGTCGAACCGCAGAGTGAAGGAAAAGCAGCCAACAAGTGCTCAGCATTTGTGGGAACTCCTTCAAGACTGTTGGAAAAGCATTCCAGTGAAGGTGTTTGAGAGAATGCCAAGAGTGTGCAAAGCTGTCATCAAGGCAAAGGGTGGCTACTTTGAAGAATCTCAAATATAAAATATATTTTGATTTGTTTAACACTTTTTTGGTTACTACATGATTCCATATGTGTTATTTCAAAGTTTTGATTTCTTCACTATTATTCTACAATGTAGAAAATAGTAAAAATAAATAAAGACCCTGGAATGAGTAGGTGTGTCCAAACTTTTGACTGGTACTGTGTATAACTGAACAAAAATATAAATGCAACATACAACAATTTCAACGATTTTACTGAGTTACAGTTCAAATACGGAAATCAGTCAAATGAAATAAATTAATTAGGCCCTAATCTATGGATTTCACATGACTGGTAATACATACCACCATTTGCCTGATGCAGCATCATCTTCGCATAGAGTTGATCAGGCTGTTGATTGTGGCCTCTGGAATGTTGTCCCACTCCTCTTCAATGGCTGTGCTAAGTTGCTGGATATTGGCGGGAACTGGATCACGCTGTTGTACACGTCAATCCAGAGCATCCTAAACATGACATGTCTGGTGAGTATGCAGGCCATGGAAGAGCTGGGACATTTTCAGCTTCCAGGAATTGTGTACAGATCCTTGCGACATGGGGCCATGCATTATCATGCTGAAACATGAGGTGATGGCGGCAGATGAATGGCAAGGCAATGGGCCTCAGGATCTCGTCACGGTATATCTGTGCATTCAAATTGCCATCGATAAAATGCAATTGTGTTTGTTGTCCGTAGCTTATGCCTGCCCATACCATAACCCCAGCCACCATGGAGCACTCTGTTCACAACGTTGAAATCAGCAAACCACTCGCCCACACGATGCCATACACTCTGTCTGCCATCTCCTTTGTACAGTTGAAACCGGGATTCATCCGTGAAGAGCACACTTCTCCAGCGTGAGCGTTTGCCCACTGAAGTCAGTTATGACGCCAAACTGCTGTCAGGTCAAGACCCTGTTGAGGATGACGAGCACGCAGATGAGCTTCCCTGAGACAGTTTCTGGCAGTTTGCGCAAAAATTATTTGGTTGTCCAAACCGACAGTTTCATCAGCTGTCTGGGCGGCTGGTCTCAGACGATCCTGCAGGTGAAGAAGTTGGATGTGGAGGTCCTGGCCTGGTGTGGTTACATGTGTTCTGCGGTTCTGAGGCTGGTTCGACGTACTGCAAAATTCTCTAAAACGACGTTGGAGGCGGTTTATGGTAGAAATTCTCTGGCAACAGCTCTGGTGGAAATTCCTGCAGTCAGCATGCCAATTGCACGCTCCCTCAAAACTTGAGACATCTGTGGCATTGTGTTGTGTGACAAAACCGCACATTTTAGAGTGGTCTTTTATTGTCCCCAGCACAAGGTGCACCTGTGTAATGATCATGCTGTTTAATCAGCTTCTTGATATGCCACACCTGTCAGGTGGATGGAATATCTTGGCAAAGGAGAAATGCTCACTAACAGGGATGTAAACAAATTTGTGCACAACATTTGAGAGAAATTAGCTTTTTGTGCGTATAGAACATTTCTGGGATCATTCATTTCAACTCATGAAACAGGGGACCAACACTTTACATGTTGCATTTATATTTTTGTTCAGTATATTTTGTGTATAATGTGTATATTTATGTTGTATTACAAAGGGTGCATTTGAAAAAGAGACTTAGGTCTCAATATGTCTTCCCTTTTAAAATAAAGGTTAAATAAAAACATTTAAAAAGATCCAGATGAGGTTTAGGGTTGAGCGAGTGATTTGTCCCAAAAATAATGCTTTTATTTTTTTTTTAGATCTTTAGTACCAGCCTATTGCTAGTTACCCATTCTAAAACTAACTGGCGCTCTATGTTCAGGGTGTCAGTTTTTAAGTTTACTGTTGCAGCCAAAGTGTATACTGTTCAGTTGTCAGCATACATGGACACACAGGCTTTATTCAAGGTCAGTGGAAGGTCATTAGTAAACACAGAAAATAACAATGGTCCAAGCTGGCCACACTCCACCGAATTTCCATTAGACAGGCTTCCATTAAAGAAAACCCTCTGTGTTCTATTGGATAGGTAACTGTCCATCCATGATAAGGCAGAGGATGTTAATCCATAACACCTAGTTTTTTCAGCAATATGTTATGATCAATGATATCAAAGGCTGTACTGAAGTCTAACAAAACAGCTCCCACAATCTTCTTCTTATTAATTTCATTCAGCAATCATCAGCCATTTGTGTCAGTTCAAGCATGTTGAGTGCCCTTCTCTAGAAGCATGCTGAAAGTCTGTATTTGGTCGAACACCATTTTTTTCCAAAGGTAACAGGCTGTTTGAACCATTAAAGGATGCTTTGCTATTTTTGGGCAGTGGAATGACCTTTGCATCCCTCCAGGCCTGAGGGCAAACTTCGTCTTCTAGGCTTAGATTGAAGATGTGGCAAATAGGAGTTGCAATGCATTCCGCTACCAACCTCAGTAATTTACCATCCAGGTTGTCAGTTCCAGGTGTTTTGTCCTTATTTATAGATAGCAATAATTTGTTTACCTCTTCCACACTAACTGTGGAATTCAAAGCTACAGTGCTTGTCTTTCATTATTTGGTCCGTTATGCATGAATATGAAGGCTCAGCATTTGTTGTTTGCATGTTTGCTAGTCTTGTCAACAAACTTAAGTGGTTGGCAATATCAAAGGGGTTTGTTCTGAATGATCCATCTGCCTCAATGAAGGATAGAGCTGAGTTAGCTTTCCTGTCTAGAATTTCATTTAAGGTACTCCAGAGCTTGTTACTATCATTCATTTATTTGTTCCATGGTATAGTTTATTCTTCTTTTTGTTTAGTTTAGTTACGTGATTTCTCAAATAACTCTATGTTTACCAATAGTTTCTTCTTCTTTTTGTTTAGTTACGTGATTTCTCAATTTACTCTATGTTTGCCAATCTGCTGTGTTGCCAGATTTGTTTGCCATTCCCTAAGCACAGGGGTGTCAAACTCATTCCACGGAGGGCTGAGTGTCTGCAGGTTTTTGTTTTTTCGTTTAAATTAAGACCTAGACAACCAGGTGAGGGGAGTTCCTTACTAATTAGTGACCTTAATTCATCAATCAAGGACAAGAGTGGAGAGAAAACGCGCGGACACTTGGCCCTCCGTGAAATGAGTTTGACACATGTGCCTTAGCCTCATCCCTAAAGCAACAGCTACTCTTCCTGGTGGTACTATCTCTGACCCCAGGTAAGAAAAGGATAGTGTCGAAGGTGATCTAGAACAAATGCAGCCCTGTCAGCTAAACAGTTCTGTTGTCCACATGGAATGCATTATGGCCTTAAACTATCTGGAGGTGTAATGAAGAACAGTCCACAACACACTAAACATGATTTATAGAAGTAGCATATATGACTGTGACCATGTGCTCAGAGCATGGCTCTAAATGTAATGTTTTCATTGGTGCACTGGTGCTCCCAACTTATTAAAGTTAGGAGCACAACAAAAAATGTAAGAGCACCGGAAAATATATTTTTAAATCGATTGAGATATAGTCTATATTGGGCCTATATGTATTCTAGCTACATGTTATGCCCTATAAATATATATGTAACCCGATAAATACATTTGTTTATTATAAAAAGCAAAAACAATTATACAAATACTTGTTATTGAAAATACAATGTAATTTGTGGAATGTTCTGTTTCTACATTGTGTAAAAACACTATTTTCCAATTGAGATGCATTTAGGGATGCACATTTTGGTAAATGTTGCTGCCGACTAACCGACCCCCATTAACCCGTTAACAACCGGTTAAATTAGTTCCAAACAGTAAAATGGTGTGACCAACAGAAATTACTATGTATGCGTAGGCCCACAAGGAACTGACATTTTTAATTGAGCTTAATTGAAACATGCGACAATAGCAAGCCTATTGTCTCAGCCAAGAGGCTATATTATTGAACATACAACTACTGTAATAAAGCAGCCAATGTAGGCTAAAACATAATCTTCATGTGACAGAGATGAAAATCTCAGTTAGAAACTTAGAAAGAGGGGAAATCTAAAGATGCAACAACTAGGATGGGTTGCTTATAGGATTGTGCTTTTAGCTTGTGGACAATGAAGGAAAGTTGATATTAAAACGAATTGAACATGCTGGTTTCAATGGCAAATGAGGTCAAAATGTCTTTACGAAATGTTTCCCTCAGTGTTTCTGGTCAGATTTTGGCTAGGCTACTTTGAAGCAATGTAAGACATGGCTCCTAATATAAGGTAAAACGTCCAGTTTTCCTAAAATTAAATATGTTTTAAACAAGCAAACTGCCTCCAGCTCAGATGGGTGGTGGGCAATGCGTTGATAGCCTACCGTATTGACCACTCGAATGGCGAGTGTGCGCGTGAGTGCTTTTGATACTCACATCTCGTAGATGAAGAGGTCTGGTATCCACAACATCTCTTTGGGAACGGAGACCCTGGATATTCCACAAAACTGACTAGGATCCCACCAGATCCGTTCATTATTCCAGGTCTGGAGGGAGGAGAGGACAGGAGAAGCAGGGGGGTGGATCAGTGGAAAATGAGTGGAACATAACAGTGTAAAATAGAGAAGAACTCACCAGTTCTATCCAGATGAAGGGAACAAAGGTCTGGGACTTCTCAATCTGGAAACACACACACCATGTAAATATCACCAGATAACACAAACCACTCTATCTCTCTTAGACACACACACACACAAACTTACCTCCCCTTCCACACACACACACACACACACACAAACACACACACACACTGACCACGGCGAGGATAGCGTAAAGGTAAACATCCAGGTGCACCATGGTTGGGTGTGTGTGGTCGAGCACAGGCCGCGTGGAGGTGAACACATCGTTTCCTCTGGTCAGGTTGAGGTGGTCCAGAACATCCTGGTAACTACACACCCTCTCAGGTGTACCTGGAAGGACAGACAGACACACACTTCATACACACTCTCAGGTGAGACTGTACCTATAGGGGCAGTGAGACACACACATGTTCAGGCATTAAGATTGAACATCAGTACAACCGTCTGAGAAAATGTCCATGATCAGGGTTTGATTGAGCGCTAATAATTAATTGATGACAATAATTTCCTTTATTTACTAATTTCCTAGTAGCCACCTCTCTGTCAGATTTACAGTATTAGATTATAGTCTTTCTCTAAACATCTTACAGGTCCCTTCGCCATGATACTGTTTACTTTGGCTTGGGGCCAAGACTAAAAATCTATCTGCAAATGGAAGAAACTGATGTCCGACAATCGTTTAAGATCTAAGAATTTGCCCACGACGTGGAAATGTAGTCCGGGGCGGCATAATTGTATCAGAAGACAGCTAAAATCGTACAGTCTGTGCAGGCCTTCCAGTCCTTATTCAATAACATCATTTTTAATTGCTCCTGATAACTACATGCTCAGGGTTAGTGCACACTATCATAAGAGGCTATTGCAACAAGATGTTGTTGAGTAAAAGAGCTAGAGAACAATTTGGTCCAAACTAGAAAAACATGTTCATGTGCACCACAAAAAAGTATAGTCTTGCACTGTAAAAAGGGCAACTCAACCAATTGCTTAATCAGCTTTAACAGTGAGTTGAGTGTACTTCAAAAGGACAGTAATTTGAGATAATGTGTTAGTTTCTTTAGTCAATTTGAACAAGCTTGTTGAGTAAAATTACAAATTCATGTTTGCTCAAAACCACACCCATCATTATCTTATTTCCCAGCATGGTCTATTGCAGGTTGATTTTCAGAATAGTTTCAATACCTGTGTTTTTGCATGAACTAATCCAATCTGTTAGCTTTCTAATGATCTCTCTACTCCAAATATCAAGCGAGTTACGTGCCATTGCACGCTGAGTGTCACCAACCAGTCAAAGTTTGCAGTTACTTTTAAGACATTTATTCAAATAATGAATAACAACTATTTGCTTAATACAAAACACAATACATGAAATCCATTGACAGCCATATTGTTCTTCTTACACACACACACCCAGTGTCTGTGTGCATCATTGTCGCGTACACACGTGCACGTAAATGCATACACGTGCACATGTATACGTGCACATGTACACGTGCACACATTTGTACACATACAAGCAAAATAATGTATTGGCTACATTCACTTATTTTCACGTGCACATGTGCGTGCACATACATATGTATGACAGAGAAACACTCTCACACTGCACATGTTCATGCCATCCGATGTAGTCCTCGCACATATCATGGTTGTGACCCTTAGTTTTCAAATTCCATTCGGATAAATAACACCTCTTATAAATACATGTCACAGAGAACGTGTATAGGCTTTACTCAAAAAACAATGTGTCGTCTAACACGTCCCTGGGTACAGCATACAGTATGTTGATGTGCCAACGCAACCCTCTCACAAACCCAGGACCTGAACTTTTGTGACAGTCACACAGAGTAAACAATATCTGAAAAGAGCTAAAACTGGGGAGGGGGTTGAAAGCTAAAAAGGGTCAGAGTAAGCTCTGGTCTCTCTCTAAGCAGCAACTAAAATGAGAAATGTTAAAGAAAATATGACCTCACACACACAAACGTCACAAGAGAGTAAGGACTGACCATCTCTTTGGATCTGATTCATGTGGGCTTTGGTTAGAGCCTTTGCCGTTCGTCTACTGGCTTGAGCTGTTGAACGTTTGATACAAATATAAGTATCAAGATTTAGGAAAACACAACGTGGTGTCGCAACGCATTTCCGCGTTGTCTCTGTGTTGCTGTGCTGTTTGTTGCTTCTTGGCTACCTGCCAAACTTTTTCGCTGTTTACTCTTAATAACCATTTAATCAAACTCTGTATTTAACAAGTTTACCAACGTCTTAGTTTTGGTTTTGTCCTCACACAACTTTCTAAATTCAACTTTGTCACCCCGCTTTATCTGGACGTAGATTTGCAGGATCTCCCGAGTGGCGCAGCGGTCTAAGGCACTGCATCTCAATGCTAGAGGCGTCACTACAGACTCTGGTTCGATTCCAGGCTGTATCACAATCCGGCCTTGATTGGGAGTCCCGTAGGGCGGCTCACAATTGGCCCAGCGTCGTCCGGGTTTCGTCCTCTGGACGAAAAGGCTCAATTACATTATGCCTTCTCATTGCAGTCGCTGTACTCATAATAGACAGGAGAACTATCGCCTTATGGTGAGGATAGCCGAGTTGCAAGCTCTGCTTCAGACGCAATCGTTAGGCAAGGGCAAGTTAAGTGTAGAAAAGGATGATACGGCGTCTGTGCCACCAGTAAATACAGGTATTAGTGTTAATCCCACTGCACAGTCCCCACAGCCAGACCATTTTCTGGAAAGAAATGCTGTCGGCATGCTCAACCAGTGTCGCTCATTCAGCCGATAGAAACATTCAACCGGTTTTCCCCACTAAGCAAGGAGATTGGCGTCAGAGCCCAAGCCTTATCAGGTCTCTCCTACACCCGTTATGGGGTCTGAGCCGCCAAAGCCTCCCACCATTAGCTCGGATAAATGTGAAAAATATTAGACTTAAAAATAATCATCCAGCGATCATACATTTGTTTACCAAGGGGCAGGGCTACCGACGTATAGGCTAATCTGAAGATAGTGCTGGCTGAGGCTAAAACTGGCGAGTGTAGATGGTATAGGGATATTGTTATCTATGTCGGCACCAACGATGTTAGGATGAAACAGTCAGAGGTCACCAAGCGCAACATGACTTCAGTGTGTGACTAGATAGATGTATTGGCATCGAGTAATTGTCTCTGGCCCCCTCCCAATTAGGTGGAGTGTTAGGTTGGCGTGATAAGCTCTACAGCAGACTGGCACAACTCAATCGCTGGTTGAATGCTGTTTTCTGCCCTTCCCAAAATATAGAATTTGTAGATAACTGGCCCTCTTTCTGGGACTTCCCCACAAATAGGACCAAGCCTGGCCTGCTGAGGAGTGATGGACTCCATCAGAGCTGGAGGGGTGCTCTCATCTTATCTATCAACATAGACAGGGCTCTAACTACTCTAGCTCCACAATGAGATAGGGTGCAGGCCAGGCAGCAGGTTGTTAGCCAGCCTACCAGCTTAGTGGAGTCTACCCCTAGCACAGTCAGTGTAGTCAGCTGAGTTTTCCCCATTGCGACTGTGTCTGTGCCTCGATTTAGGTCGGGCAAAACTAAACCTGGTGGTGTTCGCTTTAGCAATCTCACTGGAATAAATACCTTCATTCCTGTCATTATTGAAAGAGATTGTGATAATACCTCAATCTGAATGAAACATGGCCTGACTGAAACATGTCTCAAGCCTGATGAATTTACTGTGTTAAATGAGGCCTCTCCTCCTGGTGACACTAGTGACCATATCCCCCACGCATCCCGCAAAGGCAGAGGTGTTGCTAACATTTATGACAGAAAATGTCAATGTACACATTTTTGTTGTTGTTGCATTTTCGTCTTTTGAACTTTGATTCATGAAATCTATGCAGCCTACTCAATCACTTTTTATAGCTACTGTTTACAGGCCTCCTGGGCCGTATACAGTGTTCCTCATTGAGTTCCCTGAATTCCAATCGGACCTCGTCAGTCATGGCAGATAATATTCACATGGAAAAGTCCACAGACCCACTCCAAAAGGCTTTCGGAGCCTTCATTGACTCAGTGGGTTTTGTCCAACATGTCTCGGGACCTACGGCCACAATCATACCCTGGATCTAGTGTTGTCACATGGAATAAATATTGTGGATCTGTGTTTTTCCTCATACTCCTGAACTATCGGACCACCATTCTATTAAGTTTGCAATCGCAACAAATAATCTGCTCAGACCCCAACCAAGGATTATCAAAAGGTGCGCTATAAATTCTCTGACAACCCAAAAATTCCTAGATACCCTTCCAGACTCCCTCCACCTACCCAAGGACGTCGGAATAAAAATCATTTAACCACCTAATTTAGGATCTAAACTTAACCTTGCGTAATACCCTAGATGCAGTCTAACCTCTAAAAACAGCTCCTTGGTATACTGAAAATACCCGAGCACTGACGCAAGCTTCCAGAAAATTGGAATGGAAATGGCACTGCATCAAATTGGAAGTCTTCCGACTAGCTTGGAAAGAGAGTACCGTGCAATATCGAAGAGCCCTCACTGCTGCTCGATCAGCCTACTTTCCCAACCTGATTGAGGAGAATAAAAACAATCCAAAATGTATTTTTGATACTGTCACAAAGCTAACTAAAAAGCAGCATTCCCCAAGTGAGGATGGCCTTCACTTCAGCAGTGATGAATTCATGACCTTCTTCGACAAAAAAATCATGATCATTTGAAAGCAAATGACAGACTCCTCTCTGAATATGCGTATTTCTCCAAAACTCAGTTGTCCCGAGTCTGCACAAAACTACCAGGACCTAGGAGCAATGGAGACACTTGAGTTTTTTAATCCTGTATCTCTCGACACATTCACAAAAATAGTCATGGCCTCTAAACCTTCTAGCTGCCTACTGGACCCTATTCCAACTAAACTACTGAAAGAGCTACTTCCTGTGCTTGGCCCTCCTATGTTGAACATAATAAAATGGCTCTCTATCCTCCGGATGTATACCAAACTCACTAAAAGTTCTTGCCTAGTTTAGATTTTATCTGTCGGAAAGATATCAGTTCGTCTCTGTGGATGGTTTGTCACCTGACAAATCAATGGTATGTTTTGGTGTTCCTCAAGGTTCCGTTTTAGGACCACTATTGTTTTCACTATATATTCTACCTCTTGGTGATGTCATTCGGAAACACAATGTCAACTTTCACTGCTATGCAGACGACACACAGCTGTACATTTCGATGAAACATGGTGAAGCCCCAAAATGGCCTACCCTGGAAGCCTGTGTTTCAGACATAATGAAGTTGAAGGCGACAATTCTTGTACTTTTTACTTTGACTTTAAACTCAGACAAAAGAGATGCTAGTTCTAGGTCCCAAGAAACAAAGAGATATGCTGTTTGATCTGACAATTAATCTTGATGGTTATCACAAATAAAACTGGGAAGGACCTCAGCGTTACTCTGGACCCTGATCTCTCTTTTGACGAACATATCAAAAACATTTCAAGGGCAGCTTTTTTCCATCTTCGTGCCATTGCAAAAATCTGAAACTTTTTGTCCAAAACTGATGGAGAAAAGTTAATCCATGCTTTTGTCACTTCTAGATTAGACTACTGCAATGTTCTACTCTCCGGCTACCTGGATAAAGCACTAAATAAACTTCACTTAGTGCTAAATACGGCTGGTAGAATCTTGACTACAACCCCCAAATTTGATCATATTCCTCTTCCTGTTAAGGCTAGGGCTGATTTCAAGGTTTTACTGCTAACCTACAAAGCATTACATGGACTTTCTCCTACTTATCTCTCTGATTTGGCCCTGCCGTACATACCTACACGTACGCTACAGTCACAAGATGCAGGCCTACTTATTGTTCCTAGAATTTCTAAGCAAACAGCTGGAGACAGGACTTTCTCCTATAGAGCTCAATTTTTATGGAATGGTCTGCCTATCCATGTGAGAGATGCAGACTCAGTCTTGACCTTTAAGTCTTTACTGAAGACTCATCTCTTCAGTAGGTCCTATGATTGAGTGTAGTCTGGCCCAGGGGTGCGAAGGTGAACGGCAAGGCACTGGGGTGACGAACCACCCTTGCTGTCTCTGCCTGGCCAGCTCCCCTCTCTCCACTGGGATTCTCTGCCTCTGACCCTATTACGGGGGCTGAGTCACTGTCTTACTAGTGCTCTCCCATGCCGTCCCTAGGAGGGGTGCATCACGTCGTGCCAGGCTTTTTTTGCTATACTCAGCTTGAGTGGGTTGAGTCACTGATGTGATCTTTCTGTCCGGATTTGCACCCTCTCTGGCTCGTGCGGTGGGGGAGATCTTCATGGGCTATACTCAGTCCTGTCTCAGGGTAGTAAGTTGGTGGTCTGTTGATATCCCTCTAGTGGTGTGGGGGCTGTGCTTTGGCAAATTGGGTGGGGTTATATCCTGCCTGGTTCGTCCACAGTGTCCCCCAACCACCCCTGTCTCAGTCTCCAGTATCTATGATGCAATAGTCTATGTGCCGGGGGCTAGGGGCAGTCTGTCCTATCTGGTGTAATTCTCCTGTCTTATCTGGTGTCCTGTGTGATCTTAAGTATGTGTAACCGGTGTGAAATGGCTAGCTAGTTAGTGGTGCGCGCTAGTAGCATTTCAATCAGTGATGTCACTTGCTCTGAGACCTTGAAGTAGTTGTTTCCCTTGCTCTGCAAGGGCCGCGGCTTTTGTGGAGCGACGGGAAACGGTGCTTCGAGGGTGACTGTTGTCGATTGTGTGCAGAGGGTCCCTGGTTCAAGCCCAGGTAGGGGCGAGGAGAGGGTCGGAAGCAACACTGTTACATATGCTCCCTCTAATCCCGCCAGTTTCAACTGTTGTGCCTGCGGCTATGGAATCCTGACCTGTTCACCGGACGTGCTACTTTGTACCGGAACCGCTGTTTTTGAACCTCTCTCTCTCTCTACCGCACCTGCTGTCTCGACCTCTGAATGCTTGGCTATGAAAAGGCAACTGACATTTACTCCCGAGGTGCTGACCTGTTGCACCCTCTACAACCACTGTGATTATTATTTGACCCTGCTGGTCATCTATGAATGTTTGAACATCTTGAAGAACAATCTGGCATTAATGGCCATGTACTCTTATAGAGCCTGGTTCCTATCTAGGTTTCTTCCTAGGTTCCTGCCTTTCTAGGGAGTTTTTACTAGCCACCGTGCTTCTACATCTGCATTGCTTGCTCTTTGGGGTTTTAGGCTGGGTTTTGCTGATGTAAAAAGGGATTTATAAATTAATTTGATTGATTGATTGGTCAAAAGGTTTTGTACTTGCGCCACACAGAGGACTTTCAAATGTCGCACCCGAATGTCTGCCCTATTAAATCCAGGGATTCGTCCTAGAAGTGACATCGGTGTGACACGTACTGAGTATACGAAGAGGCAGGATGCAGACGCAGGAATTAACAAGGTCAAGGTTTACTTAACAATTAGCAAGAGAAATAACAACGATAGAGTAAACGACACGAAGCTTAACAATCACACATAACATCATATAGAACAGTCCAGGGCTAAATAGGGGTGGTGATGAGATGATGAGGTGCAGGTGCGCTGGAGGTGATTAGGGTGCGTTGGGTTCCCATTCTGGTGTTGCCGGATGATACGCTACAGTAGCTTTGATTGGGCTAACAGGAAAATCATCCGGTTAAATAGCCTATTGCAGTTTGATTCAAAGTATGTAGCTAGGTAGTTTACAATTCATTAATGATTTCGGAATAGACGGGGGTTTGATAGTGCAGAGAAATTAGTGCCGCGAAAACCTGATGTGATGTGTTAGAATCTAGCATCCACCGAATTGATGTGAAAGTGCTCCGTTGCTATGTTTCATCAGATTAATAATTATATTTATATTCTGAATTTGGCAATAAAACATACAGAATATGAAAGCAAAGACATCGTTTTGTTAACACCAGATGAAACCCACAAACAGCGAAAAATCTACATTTTGACAAAAACACATATGCAAATTAGCCATAACGACTTCCGAATGACTATGATAGAGCGCGTCACATATGTAATGTATTTCCATGAAGAGTTTAATTTTAAAGATAACATTTTCACTTAGACACTCACTTGGTGAAGGCTACAGAAGCGAAAGCCATTGAATACAACAACCATGTCTCTGTAGCTAACAAATACAGTCATGGGTGGTAACTACAATTCACTCTAAAGGCAAGTCACACTGGGAAATATGCAAATAAAGTAGAATAAATTCTCAAGTTGAATTGTATGTTCACTCAACCTAAAATTCAAAGTTCAGTGAACATACAATTCAACTTGAGAATGTGTGTTGGTTTAGCTATATGCCCAAATGTTGAACAAATTCGCCATCCTGTTTAATCAACATATTTTTCTTACTGCAGTGTACGTGAGAGTGCTCCCAAGGCTACAAAAAGTATCAAAACTACTCACCTGAAAGAAAGAGTAGACAGAGTAGAGCAACCCAGAGCATGACACCAGCCATGTGTGTGTGAGTGGAACGGTGACACAGAGAGAGTGTGTGTGAAACAGCAGGACAGTCAGAGTGTGTGACTTTATGTCTCTGTGTGTGTGAGACAAGAGTCCAATGTGCAGGCGTGTCTGTGAGTGTGCGTGCTGTGTGTGTGTGCAGAGAGGTGCCAGAAATGACAGTCATCCATTTTCACCTGCAATGACACCATAGGGAGAGAGAGAGGGGGGGGGGGAATGGGGTAAGGAGGGAGAAAAGAAAGAAGAGACAGATGAGGAGAGGAAGAAAGGAGGGGCTTTAAGACACTTGACCAGGGCTGGCGGACACACTGATTGGATTGTGTGGGCCAGCAAAACTCTGATTGGTTTAAAATGATTAGAGTGACTTTTGATTGGTTTAGGGTGGTCTGAGTGAGAGATGGGTTTAGACACTGCAGAGAGACAGAGTCCGTATCCCAAATGGGCTGCAGCTACCCGTAAACATGGATCCAAAAAGGGCCCATGGGGCTCTGGTCAAAAGCAGCGCACTATACAGGGAATAGGGTGCCATTTGGGACACAGAACCATTCTGAGATCAATGTCTGGTAAGAGAAACATCATCCTGCTCATACAGAGGAATAAAGGATGAGGAGGAAAGAAGGGAGAAATCATTCTAGGAACACTTACAGTAATATGAACCGACCACCCCCGGCAACAGCCCCTTCTAAACCAGATGTACAAGATGGGTTTGTGTTGAGTCAACAACCGGTCAGCATGACTGTGTGTTTGTGTGTGTGTGTGCAGAGATGGGAAGTATTTATTTTACATGTATTTGAAATACGTATTTCGATTACTTTAAAGTATTTTGTCATTTGTATTTCACTGACCTGAACTACAATCCAATGTATTTTGGAAAAAGATACTTGAATTTGTATTTTTCGCCACCTTACTTTAAAGTATTTTGTCATTTGTATTTCACTGACCTGAACTACAATCCAATGTATTTTGGAAAAAGATACTTGAATTTGTATTTTTCGCCACCTATCACCACATTTGCTGCATTGGTATCAAAAGTCTGATGGCACTAATGTGTTATAAGAGCATCTGCTAAATGACCAATATGTAAATAAACTCTCGGTCCCCATCAGTCTCAGCTAGCGTGGTTCAGCTGAAGGAAGGGGTGAGTAGAAAAACCTCTACTATCCAGGAAATGCGTAACCAGCTCCGGGATCTACAATTGGGGATGATCTCAGTCAAAACAAACAGCAGAGGAGCAAGAGTCACCAGAGCACAGCCGGCCATATCCCACAATAGAGGAGGAAAGGAGGGAGAAATCATTATAGGAACACTTACAGTAATATGAACCGACCACCCCCGGCAACAGCCCCTTCTAAACCAGCTGTCCAAGATGGGTTTGTGTTGAGTCAACAACCGGTCAACATGTCAGGCTCCCAGGCCTCAGCCAGCTCGTCAGGCTCCCAGGCTTCAGCCGGCTCGTCAGGCTCCCAGGCCTCAGCCGGCTCATCAGGCTCCCATGCCTCAGCCGGCTCGTCAGGCTCCTAGGCCTCAGCCGGCTTGTCAGGCTCCCATGCCTCAGCCGGCTCGTCAGGCTCCCATGCCTCAGCTGGCTCGTCAGGCTTCCATGCCTCAGCTGGCTCAACAGGTTCCCGCACCTCAGCAGAAGCGACCGGCCCGCTCCTGGTCCTCGGGACTGTCCCTCTGGTCGGCTTCGTCCTGCGGCTGGAGCCGCGCATCAGGGAGGGGGTACTGTCACGTCTACTCCCGCTCCTCCTCTCTGGCGCTCGTTGTCGCCAGTTCACTCACCATTACACACACCTGCCACCATCGTTACGCGCACCTGCGCGTCATGAGACTCACCTGGACTCCATCACCTCCCTGATTACCTCCCCTATACCCTATATCTGTCACTCCCTTTGGTTCTTTCCCCAGGCGTTATTGATTCTGTTCCTGTGTTTCATGTCTGTACACTACTCGTGTTTCTTGTTTTGTTCCATGTATTATTTATAATTAAATTCACTCCCTGTACTTGCTTCCCAGCGTACACATTACAGAGTGGTAGTAAGAGACAGGAATAGGCCACACTCAGTCAACAACTTCAACTGTTGCAGGCACATGTGGACAGTAGCGGTGCGTGGGTAAAATCACTGGGGAACCCAATCCAGAAAAAAATGCCATAATTTATTACAACCTATGTGTGGTGGTAATTGCGTTGTTTGTTCTATAACCTGTTAGTACATATGCCTTGCGACTGTGACATATAGGCCTAAGGCCAAGACAATAAGAAGACACAGTGGCAGAATAAATTCAACCACACCTTTGTTTCATCACAAAACCGGAGAGCAATCGCTCTCCGGTGACGTCCACAAAGCATATTGCATGTAACACAGTTACATGACCTACTGCATGGTCAAGCAAGTTAATGTTTCTGACATTTTCGGACTACTAAACAACTATTGATTTAAAACCATGGAGAGTTACTGCAAGTCGCAAAGAAAACAGGAGCTGCCTCCACTATTCCTGCACCATGTAAACTTCAACATCATCAAATCACCTATGCTTAGTCTAATACAGCGACAACTAAAAGATACCAAAAACAATTTAGTCCAATCAACATAAGCTATATATGATGTGGCTGTCCATGGTTCTGGTGTGTGTGCGTGCGTGCGTGTGTTCATACAAGTAGAAAAAACATGTTGACTCACCCTACTTGTAGAGAAACGCCAATGATGTCCTCCCTCTCTTTCATGTTGATGAAACGGTCGATGACTGTCATACAGTACACACTTTTATTTTTTGTTATCCTAGGCTACCTGGCTAAAATGATTGCTTGCTAGCCTAACTTATTTTCATGGGCAACATTAGCTAGTTAATATTAGCCTTCCACATCTAGCTACATATTGAATTTCCATCCTCTCAGTCCAGGGGCACAATGTATGAATTTATGGTTGGATCAGAATCACTGTTATAATCATTGGCCAGCACAGAGAATTAAGTAAAACCACAAATCCAAATCCCTATCTCCATCCATGGCTAATTTAGGAATTGGCCAATTTTAGCTAGCTACCTAGCCACCGGAGGACAACAACACAACGAGATGCAACAATTCAAGTTGTTTCTGTCAATGACAGATTTCTCTTGATGAGATGTGATAGGAGAGAATGCCAAATCCAAACTGGCTTCCCTTCAACAATAAATTGGGTGCGCCAGGACCATTCACAGTTGAAGTTTAGCTCAACGCTGATTGGCTATTATTTTATTTTTATAAATTATCAAGAGAAGTCAAATGCTCGCTGGCTTCCTTTGCATTCAATGCTACAATGTCATACTCTTTATGACCAGACAGCATCAGATAGATGGCCTACACATACAGAGACAGAGGGGCGCTGTTTCGCTCGCTCGGATGCTTTCTCCAGTGAGATACAACTATGAAAACACAGAGAGACTAAAGATAAATGATTTTATATGGTTTTTTTCTTGGTCAATTTTTTGAGGACGCCTGGCTTCCCTTGGTATCAATGAATACACGCCACTGTGTGTGGATAACATTGGGAAATGCCAATGGGGCACAGTAACTGAGCAGACTGTGGCCCCCACTGTAGAAAACTGCTCCACCTTGAAGGCCTCTCCCAGTTTGACTTCTTCAGCTCCGCTGCCCCAGGGGCTTGTCGGGCCAGCTACTGTCGTTCCATTTAAAATCAATGGGTAGTCTTTTTACATTTACATTTGAGTCATTTGTCATAGTCATAGTAGTCATAGTCTTGTGAAGCCTTGTTAGACAGTGGCTCCTAAGTTACTATAATTTTCGAGGACTGGTTCCAAGCACACTTGGGGCACTTGCCTGGAAGCCAGTAGAGGGTTTAGCTATATGGGGACTCAGTGACAGTAGTTACCCTTATCGTGGCTATGTAGTCATTGAGCTAGAATTCCCTGAGGAGGTAGCTGGGGTCCAGAGACCAATCTCTTTAAGGGCCTGAGTCAGCTGTGTGAAGAGACCGCAGGAAGAGAGTATGTCAACGTACTGACCATCCTCCCTATGTTCTCCAAGACCTACATCAAACACCAGTCCCTTCAGAAACCGGGACTGTATGACGAGCCAGCATGGTGAAGTGAAGTTGGTGGGGCCAGAGGCTTTAACTATTCCAACTGACTCCGAGGTAGACATTCCCTGCAGTGTGGGGCTCTTATCTTGTCCAGATAAGGGGTGTCTACTGATTGAGGCCACAGAAGAAGACACGTTGTCCGTTTTCTTTTTAGTTCAGCCAAGAGTTACTGAAGTGGAGGACCGGAGTGACAGCGTGTTGTCTATCAGAGTACGTAATGCTACCAAGAAAGAAATAGTACTGGCAAAGAGACAGTTTTGGCCAATGTGTTAACCGTTGAAATTCTGCCCTCCTCCACACCTCCATCCTCAGTGTCTCAGCCTGCCGTGAACCCCATGAACTTTGATTTTGGAGATTCCCCTATAACTAGATGGGTGCCTTGAGTAAAATAATTGACTGGTGTGTAGGCCTCAAGGGAAAAAATGGGTTGGTGTGTTAGAAATGCCAGGGCCAATTTCTGTTCCCAGTCCGCCCCTGGGCGGTGGTGGACAAGTTCCATGTTCTGGGGCCAGTTTTGTTGCGTGTACTGACAACAATCCCCTCACCTACGTCTTGACCACAGCCAAACTCAATGCCACTGGGCACAGGTGGTTGGCCAGCCTAGCCAACTACAACTTCAGTCTCCAGTACTGCCCTGGCAAGATCAACATTGACGCTGATATCCTTTCAAAGAGAACCAATTCACTATCCAGCCCTGAAGACAAGGTGTCAGTACCGGCCAAGGAAGTCACCAGAGTTTGTCAGAAGTTGCATGAGGAAGACCTGCCAGCACATGTGGCAAAATTACTTGGGGTACCGCCAAACTCCATTCCCGGTTCCTGGGTGCCCTGGAAGGAAGCAGACCTCATTCAAGCACAACACAGTGACCCTGTATTTCAGACAGTGTGGGAGGAACTCCTCCACCAAGCACCCAACAGCTCAGTACAGAGGAACCTCCATGATCTCCCTCTGTACTTGAAGGAATGGGACTGATATGAACTGAAATGGGAAGTAGAGTACTGGGTTACTGGGTGCTACCTGAAAAATACCTTACCCTGGTCATGCCAGCACTGCCTGATGAAATGGGGCACATGGGCATTGGGAGAACAACAACTCTGGTGAAAGATGGGATCTACTGGCCAGAGATGAACCAATAAATCGGAAACTACATTGAAACCTGTGTGCGGTGCGTTCGTCGAAAAATCATGCTGAAGAATGCTGCTCCAGGTGGACAACAGAGTGCTGATCCGATACTGGGGAGGACCAGGGAAGACGAAGATCTCAGATGGAAACCTGAACCACATGTTGTGGTTACCAAGATGCCTGATCTACCCGTCTACAGAGTACGACCAGAGAAAGGCACTGGCGAAGTTAAACGAAGTTCAAAGGAATCTTCTGCCCATAGGACAACTGTTGAGGGATGGTCAGTGAGGACCAGGCCTCGAATTTCCCGCCCTCTTATGTGGCCTTAATGCCTCTCCAAAAAATGTATTCCTTGTGGCCAAAGTGACCGTTGTGCTCTTGGGCTGAATGTAAAAACTATAATTCTCATGGCTGGCTGCCAGTGAAATTCACACTACTCTTTCCAATCGTTGCGCTCCGAAGCACCGCTCACTGGTAGGCACTCAGATGTCTCAATTCTTATTGGCCAATGCCCGCCCTTGATCATTGTGTCCTTCCTTCATATGTGCCTTCGGAAAGTATTCAGACCCCTTGACCTTTTCCACATTCTGTTAAATTACAGCCTTATTCTAAAATTGAATAAATTGATTTCCCCCCTCATCAATCTATACACAGTACCGCATAATGACAAAGCAAAAACAGGTTTTTCGATTTTTTTGCTAATTTACACTACCGGTCAAAAGTTTGGACACACCTACTCATTCAAGAGTTTTTCTTTATTTTTACTATTTTCTACATTGTAAAATAATAGTGCAGACATCAAAACTATGAAATAACACACATGGAATCATGTAGTAACCAAAAAAGTGATAAACAAATCAAAATATATTTTATATTTGAGATTCTTCAAATAGCCACCCTTTGCCTTGATGACAGCTTTGCACACTCTTGGCATTCTCTCAACCAGCTTCATAAGGTAGTCACCTGGAATGAATTTCAATTAACAGGTGTGCCTTGTTAAAAGTTAATTTGTGGAATTTCTTTCCTTCTTAATGCGTTTGAGCTAATCAGTTGTGTTGTGACAAGGTAGGGGGGGGTATACAGAAGATAGGCCTATTTGGTAAAAGACCAAGTCCATATTATGACAAGAACAGCTCAAATAAGCAAATGACAGTCCATCATTACTTTAAGACATGAAGTTCAGTCAATCCAGAACATTTCAAGAACTTTTAAAGTTTCTTCAAGTGCAGTCGCAAAACCCATCGAGCGCTATGATAGAACTGGCTCTCATGAGGACCGCCACAGGAATGGAAGACCCAGAGATACCTCTGCTGCAGAAGATAAGTTCATTAGAGTTACCAGCCTCAGAAACTACAGCCCAAATAAATGCTTCACAGAGTAAGAGTAACAGACACATCTCAACATCAACTGTTCAGAGGAGACTGCGTGAATCAGGCCTTCATGGTCGAATTGCTGATAAGAAACCACTACTAAATGACACCAATAAGAATAAGAGACTTGCTTGGGCCAAGAAAGATGAGCAATGGACATTAGACCGGTAAAAATCTGTCCTTTGGTATGATGAGTCCAAATTTGCGATTTTTGGTTCCAACCGCCGTGTCTTTGTGAGATGCAGAGTTGGTGGACGGATGATCTCCGCATATCTGTTTCCCACCGTGAAGCATGGAGGAGGAGGTGTGATGGTGCTTTGCTGGTGACACTGTCTGTGATTTATTTAGAATTCAAGGCACACTTAATCAGCATGGCTACCACAGCATTCTGCAGCGATACGCCATCCCATCTGGTTTGGGCTTAATGGGACTATCATTTGTTTTTCAACAGAACAATGACCCAACACACCTCCAGGCTGTGTAAGGGCTATTTTGCCAAGAAGGAGAGTGATGGAGTGCTGCATCAGATGACCTGGCCTCCACAATCCCCCGATCTCAACCAAATTTAGATGGATTGGGATGAATCGGACCGCAGAGTGAAGGAAAAGCAGCAAACAAGTGTTCAGCATATGTGGGAACTCCTTCAAGACTGTTGGAAAAGCATTCCAGGTGAAGCTGGTTGAGAGAATGCCAAGAGTGTGCAAAGCTGAAATCAAGGCAAAGGGTGGCTATTTGAAGAATCTCAAATATAAAATATATTTGTTTAACACTTTTTTGGTTAATACATGATTCCATATATGTTATTTCATAGTTTTGATGTCTTCACTAGTCATCTACAATGTAGAAAACAGTAAAAATAAAGAAAAACCCTTGAATGAGTAGGTGTTCTAAAACGTTTGACCGGTAGTGTACATTACAAAAAAGAACGGAAATATTTACATAAGTATTCAGACCCTTTACTCAATACTTTGTTGAAGCACCTTTGGCAGCGATTACAGCCTCGAGTCTTCTTGGGTATGACGCTAGAAGCTTGGCACACCTGTATTTGGAGAGTTTCTCCCATTCTTCTCTGCAGATCCTCTCAAGCTCTGTCAGGTTGGATGGGGAGCGTTGCTGCACAGCTATTTTCAGGTCTCTCCAGAGATGTTCGATCGGGTTCAAGTTCGGGCTCTGGCTGGGCCACTCAAGGACATAGTCTTGGCTGTGTGCTCAGGGTCGTTGTCCTGTTGGAAGGTGAACCTTCGCCCCAGTCTGAGGTCCTGAGCGCTCTGGAGCAGGTTTTCAATAAGGATCTCTCTGTACTTTTCTCCATTCATCTTTGCCTCAATCCTGACTAGTCTCTCAGTCCCTGCCGCTGAAAAACATCCCCACAGCATGATGCTGCCACCACCATGCTTCACCGTAGGGATGGTGCTAGGTTTCCTCCAGACGTGATGCTTGGCATTCAGGCCAAAGAGTTAAATCTTGGTTTCATCAGACCAGATTATCTTGTTGCTCATGGTCATAGAGTCTTTAGGTGCCAAACTCCAAGCGGGCTGTCATGTGCCTTTTACTGAGGAGTGGCTTCCGTCTGGCCACTGTACCATAAAGGCCTGATTGGTGGAGTGCTGCAGATGGTTGTCCTTCTGGAAGGTTCTCCCATCTCCACAGAAGAACTCTAGAGCTCTGTCAGAGTGACCATCGGGTTCTTGGTCACCTCCCTCACCAAGGCTCTTCTCCCCCGATTGCTCAGTTTGGCCAGGCGGCCAGCTCTAGTTAGAGTCTTGGTGGTTCCAAACTTCTTCCATTTAAGAATGTTGCAGGCCACTGTGTTCTTGAGGACCTTCAATGCTGCAGATATTTTTTGGTACCCTTCCCCAGATCTGTGCCTCGACACAATCCTGTCTGAGAACTCTACGGACAATTCCTTCGACCTCATGGCTTGGTTTTTGCTCTGACATGCACTGTCAACTGTGGGACCTTAAATAGACAGGTGTGTGCCTTTCCAAATCATGTCCAATCAATTGAATTTACCACAGGTGGACTCCAATCAAGTTGTAGAAACATCTCAAGGATGATCAATGGAAACAGGATGAACCTGAGCTCAATTTCGAGTATCATAGCAAAGGGTCTGAATACTTATGTAAATAAGCTATTTCAGTTTTTTTTATATATATATATATATTCATTTGCAAAAAAATCTCAAAAACTGTTTTTGCTTTGTCATTATGGGGTATTGTGCGTAGATTGTTGAGGATTTTATTTTATTTAATCCATTTTTGATTAAGGTTGTAATGAAACAAAATGTGGAAAAAGTCAAGGGGTCTGAATACTTTCCGAAGGCACTGTAACTTGGGTCCTTCTCACAGTCGAGTCTTCACAGTTACAGCTCCGAAGACAGTCGAGACCGTCTTTGAATTTCGATAAGACTTCCAAAAGCTACACTAGAAACAAGAAGGTAAGCAACGAGTACCTTGTATTATCATAGATTTAAAAAAAAAAACTTTGACTCACAGTATTGACCCAGTGTTTATATGATGCTCTGTAATTACTTAATTTGCAATTGGCTAACCAAAGCTAGCTACCGTTAGATGGCTACAGAGGCACCAATTGTTAAAGTTTTAGCTAGCTAGCTAG